CGTTTGTCGGGTCAGCTAGTACTATATATATATATACCATATCTAGCACGACGGTATAATGGCACGAAATAAAAAAAAAAACATATACATTTTATGGAATAAATAAATAATAATTACGTATATATATATAATCAGGACCGTATTAATTAACGTATAGGCGCTATAGGCACTGTGCCTAGGGCCCACGAACTTTTTTGAGCATATGAAAATGTGTGGATACGATTTTTTTGTAGTATGCAAATTGGTATAAAAACTTTTTTTATGGTTTTTGAAAATTTATATTATATATGTTTTGGATTAAAATTAATTTTTTTTTAACATTTGTTAAAATTCTTATCGTATAAAAATGTATAATAGTTATCATATAAAATTTTAGATTTGATTTTAATGTTGTATATATTATTGTTTTTAAAAGCTTAACACTGCATGAGATTCAATACTTCCTCTCGCAAAGAAAAGGTTTCTAAATCATTTGAATACTGGACAACGGCCCTGCAAGAACTAGGGGTCTAGGCCCTACGATAGTGTTAATCCGGGCCTGTATATAATAATCATTGATTAATACTCTCTATTAATCAGCAACAATTGTAGTTGAATTGAAATATAAATTTTGAGCTGATCATGTTTTAAAATCTAAATGCGGTAGCATATGCATTTGTGCTTTAGTCTATCAATAAGAAATAGGATAATGGAACATAATGTCAATTTTTAAAAACATGAACCGTAAACAGTTGATAGAAATATTTTGGGCAATTATAAAATATACCATCTACAAATATTTTGTCACTAGAGCATAGCAATTTAAAATTATAATTTGTAGAGTAGAATAAAATATTATTTACTGTGTCAGTGTTTAGTAAAAAATCTGCTGGAAACAATATTATGTATTTACAAAATCCGAAAATGTTTTAATATTATAATTGAAACGGTATACGGTGGGGGGCTACCGACACCCGAATCTTAAATGAATACACGTCATACGCTATTACATTAATTATTGAATATTAATAAACATTATACAAATTAATAAGGGGATATTCCTATGGGCTGGCTTGAGCAAGCAACCGCGGCGGGCGGTATCGGGTCTACGCAGGCGCGACTGGGAGATCTGAATGCACAATGGAAAGCAGGCTTAAGCAAGCGAACAATACCGACCATGATCACTTTACCGGCGACCGCTTGAATAAGCGCACCGGAAACTCGTTTTACGAGTGTTGGCCCTGAGAGGGCCTTTTTTAGTTTCGATGAACAGACCCACGAATTGCGGAGCCCCGCGTATAAATGCCGCTGGAGGCGGATTCGTGGTTGTTGTAATTCGTCGTCGTCATAATTGCCGTTGGGTTCTTCTATTCTTCTTATCTTGATTTCTGAGATGTTGATAGTTGTGGATAGAACAATGTGGAGTGCCGATGATCGGAAAGGTGTTCGGTATTTATACCTAATTGAACATCGATGCTCCATCCTCATTCGTCAGTTCCTATCTCCCGTCGACGATGTAAAACGGTACTATTCTTCTATTGTATTTGATCGCCTTCGTGCCGTTTTACCTCGTTGTATCGTTGTTCGTTTGTGGCCTTGAGAAGTGCCGTTTTATTATACATACGCTCCGTTACATAATATACATGTTATATTATTATATACATATAGAAATCTTCGGCACAATCAATATATACAGATATTCAACGAAATCGATAAACTCCCATAAATACCACATAATTATACATATCGTTTGATTACGCATTTGTGTATTCTTCTTAATTTACATACGTCAAACGACAGCTAATTCATAGACGAGATTAATTTCGTATTATTTTTTTTTCTTATCCTATTGAAAAATAAAGATGCACAAGACACCCAATGTTTATTGTTCAACATATATGTATAATAAAAGGAAACGTTTTGTAGTAAAAAAAAAAAAATTACGTGTCAACCCCGAATAAAGTAAAGATTAGTTCGCGTTCAACAAAAAAATATTTTTACTTCTATGCTCGTGATACATAGGGTTTTTTACAAACGTTGTATAATAATCATTGGTTATACAAGTTTTGGTAACTTTTAAATTGAAGGCTGAACCAGGGTCAACATTAGTAGCTGATTTATATTGGCACTCAGTGTTTAAAAATAAAAATAAAAAGATTTTTGATGGAAAAATTCATATTTTAAAAGCAACTTATAATTAGATATTTCTTTTTTACAATTGCATACTGTATATCTGTCTTAGAATCCAAGTAAAATGATTTTCACTAGAACGATTATTTCTATAATTTGTATTCACTAAAAATTCAGCGATATCTGACTGATAAATTAGCAGAAACATATTAAAACAGTTCTATGTAAGAATATTGTCCAGGAAAATGTTTGTCTTAAATTTCTACACGGTAGAATTAAATCGTTGGTTATAACTAGGGAACGGATTTATATGTAATAAAAATACATAAATATGTACATATGTATGTAAGTATAATTTATAAAATATGTACTAAAACCATCCAAATATGTAGGAAAAAAATTTAATTAAAAAAAAAAAATTATAATTATCAAATTATCAAAATGATTTGTTGCATTGAATTATTACAATATATTTTAAATTATCAAATATTAAATGTCGCCTATTAGATCTGAAAATATTTTTAAAACGGTTAAATGATCGTTCCACATCAACCTACGTCGGTTGATTAAAGCATATTTGAAAGGCATAATATTAGAAGGCGATAATTCCAAATTTTTAGAAGGGTGTCTGCCACTCATTATGTCATTGATTGATTTAAAATAAATATGGCCTGAAATTTTTTTCAGTAAAAATAGGAATTTTCTTTTTTACTACTTCTCCTATTGGTCCGTTTACGAGTTTTCATTTTGCAATCCTTGATTCGACAATTTGCATACTTTCATTCAAGGACATATTTTTGTTTCTAATTTTGTAAATGTATATGCAATAAAACTAAAATTCACTGAGATGAAAATTAAATTAGTTTTCAATGTTTCATTTTGCATAATATTTTGAGCTTTTCTAATAGCGATAGAAGTTCTGGATATAAATTTGAAATAATTTCTTGTATTTTTGTACGAAGAAGACGTATGAATGATGAAACAATAAAATATGTTTAAAAATATTTACAAATTAGTGAAATATGTAAAAATATGTAATTATACCAAAATATGTAAAAATATGTAAAATAAGTAGCATCATATTAATAGGAATGATTTAAATCATGAACATTTCTTATCAAATTTTAAATATCTCGTTTTAATAAAAATATGTATTTACATATAAATCCGTTCCCTAGTTATAACAATACTTAACGTTTATTGCTTTATGTAAAACCTAAAATCGACAGACAAAAAGAAAAAAATATATATATATATAGTTATATCGTGACATATTTAAACTAGCAAAAGGCAAATGTAGCTAAGGTAGGCCAAGAAGTACCTCAGGTAAAGTTTGGTATTTGATTATACAAGTGTTCCTCCGACCGTTTAGCGATAGAATATTTGATTAGATTTGAAATTGTTGGTACAAGCGACACTAATGAAAAATATAGTTTGCCAAGCGACAAACACATTACGGTCCTCGATAAAATACGATTGAGAACATTACTTTTGGTAACATGATCGTGAACAAAACTCAAGTGTTTTTTTTTCAACGTTACCTAATGTAGTCGATCGATAATATGAACACAATAATCTGTTGATATTTATCGGACTTTTATCAGATAAGCTGAATGTTAATAGTTAATTAAATACCGAAAATACGAAAGAATGACGGTTAGGCTTTGCAGGCATCGCACAAACTATTCGTCAATATATTTCATTATTTTATAAGTTACACTATACAGGTATAAGATATTTTTGTACATCCTACATATTTTTAATTTTTATTCATATGATACATTGCATATTATTTTTTCAAGATTATTTATTGTATGATGCTGAATTTTCAAAAGCCAAATAAATGATATGGCAAACTATGGCAACGTTGCACATACATTCGTTCTTAATCGTATCGTTTTTTGAGTTTTTTTTTTTTTTTTAGTCAGCGGTAAGTTCTTTATTAATTTTAAGTGTTCTCAATCGTTTGATGGCCATAGTCTTTGGTCTCAATATTTTATCGCCCATCACCTTTTATACCTTTTATTTTTTGATAATATTAGAAGATACATTTAATTTTCATATTGATTATTATAAGTTTGCCTACTTTTTCTACACTATAATAATACAATTCTCAACAAAAATGTCATTTGGTCAATATATTTTACGAACAGTTGGATATTGTGACATAATACAATAGATGTTAAAAGCAGATGACCTAGCCGTTCAATTTTTGTGTTCAGCTTGTTGTATCGACATGGTGAATACAATTTTCGTCAGCAGTTGGTTGTCACTTGTACCGAAATATATAAACGAAGTATCTCATTGCTAAACGATCACGGGAACACTGGCACACGTATTGCAAAATACCTTAACCGTCGGCTGTGCTGTATTTGTTAGTCTTTAATGACAAAAACAGTGTGCTCGAAGAGATGGGAGAGTAAGGAAGTACAGTATTTGTCGGATTCGATCGGTGGTAGGTAGATCCCGAACGATTAATGATCCACCGATTGCGATGATTTCCGTCACCACGGTATGTGAGTAACCGTAGATAATAGAATGGGGCACGCCTATATTAACCTTTAAATGGGGTCATGGTCTTTTTTGATTCTCTTTTTGAAATCTCAGGAATTTTCTCTTCCTTGCAAGGGGTATATATTAAGGTTATAAAACAAAAATAAAAAAATAAAAAAAAATACCAATTTCAATGGTAATTGATAACAAATAATAGGAAGGCTTTTTTTTATACTAAGTTTCTTAAATTCTGTCTCTGCCGTACATCAGTTGTTATCATAAGTATATAGCTTCTTTTTTTTTTTAATCGATAAATCAAAATCATACCAATCTCGTATATACATATATTATTCTATTATTTATGCGAGTAACGGGAAAACAAACGGATGTCCACTGACCGTAGACAATGCTCCTGGCTGGGTACCTCTTGATGACCGAGGTCTTGGCACACTCTCGCTTCTCTGGCTCCGGCAGCCCGGCCAACGGACGCACCCTGGCTACGGCGTCTGCCACTTCGGTCAGCTGCCTCTGGACGGACGCCATGAGCGCGCAATCCAACTGCTGGTCGTCGGTGCGGCTCATGACCTTTTCCACGAACTTTCTGAACGCTTCCATCGCAGAGAACCCGATGCCACGGACCGAAGAATTGCTGTCGAACCAGTTTTTTATTGTTTTTTTTTTTTTCTAATATCGTTGAAAAAACGATTTTCTGGAAGAGCTCGCGTGAATGCCTCAGGAACGGGTACCCTAACCGGGTAGGTCGGGACGAATTCCACTGAAACCGTACGATACGGTCGTGATCGGGCTATCGCAGTGAACGGAATGCTTAGGCCCACAGCCGATGAAAATCGACAAAGGGACGACGGCGAACGGGTAGCCGTCACGTAAAACTGTTTGTGACGCCGAATTAAACAATAATACTATAACCATGGTGTATCACCGTTCTGAGGACGTTTGATCGATGACACGCCATTTCGAGGGCGCGTTTTTTGTCCCGCCGACATTGAGTGAGTTAATGGGTTTCTTTTTTTTTTTTTTGGAATACTGCTAAGTTAAGTTGATATGTATTATTAAGAAAAATTTGACCGACTTGGTTGAGTTAAAAGTTATGTTTACAAACAGTTAACAATTTTAATACGTTGAAAATTATTTATTAACTTATAATATAACATATACTATCTACAAAAGGCGTATATAGGTTTTAATTTCGGAAGAGGCCGATTATATATTTGGGAGAAAGGGAAGGAGGAAACACACTATTACAATAAAAATTAATTCAACACTATAAGACTTTGCGAATGTCTTTACACCATCAGAGAAATAAGAAATTTAATTTTTTTAATGATATATAATTTTTAAAAGTATAAAAACTACACTATAATAAACATTTTTTCATTACAGTCATTCAAAATTCACTTCATATTTTCTTAAAAGAATAAACATACTTTATAAATATAACATTTTAAATGACCGCATAAGCAATATTCTCAGTATCACGACAAATTTTCGGAAATCCTCAGTATTAAGACATAACCATGTTAAAAATAACAATCTTTAACAATGGTGTTTTTCATTTCAGGGGGGCCCTCGGCCCTCCCCATAAGTACGCCCTTGCTATATACTTATATAATATAACTAAATAAACTAAAAATTGTATTTGATTTTAAATTTTTCTTATAAATGCAAATTAGCTGGGGTAAAAAAAAACATTTACTCATTCAGCCTTACTAAAACAGATTATTGTTTTTCTGTTTGGAAACACAAATATTCTTTTTTAGCGACTCAAAACAAAACTACTGTACTTTATACAGTATTTTTATATACTATATCCAATAAATTAACTTTTACTTTAAAAAGTTAATGCTCAACATTAATTAATCAAAATACTATTGGAGATTAAAGAAAAATCGACTACATTTTAATAAAATAAAACATATTTAAAAAAAAAAAAATAAATACATTTAAATTATTAAAATTTGAATTTAATTCTATGACTTTACATTGATTTAAACACAATTTACTCAAGCTAGTATAATTATATTGATAGAAACTCAAAATTAAATAATTAAGTTAATGAGTTTAATTAAAATCAATTATAAATTTATAACTCAATGATACTCAACTTTGGCGAAAAAATCTTTTGCCCATGATACCTCGGTATAAATAGAATAACTATTAGAATTATTGTATTATATTTATTATATTTATTATACATTGTTACCGTATTAATTGAAAAAGTATTTTATTACGATTATTTACAAAAATAATTGTTCCGTGTTTTACGTAGATATTTTACCGTAATTTACATACGTTATTTTTACAGGAAATTTATTTTTTTTTTTTAACATTGTTTCTTCTCAAAAACTTGTACACCGTTTAGAATGCGTAATTACTTTTCGGACCGATAAAATTCGCTGAGGTGGTTTTGTTCTACTACGATATATAATACGAATAACTTAGACCCAGGGACGAACCTTTGTATAATATATGCATTGGGGAAATAAATATCATCGAGAGAAAATTGAGGTTCTATATTATGATGGTGTCACGCTTTCAATAATCGAGCCGTCTTTTTATTTCTATTCACATTGTAATTATATGCAACAGTAAACGCGCGTTGTGTTCTGTTTACGTCGTGCGTTTATAGTATTTTGTGGACGGTATTAGCTACAAGCAGTGGCACAACTTTGAGAGTTTGGGCAGTGCCGCATTTAGATAAGTCATCCAGGAGCAAATATCTTACTAACTCTCCCACCTTCGCCAATAAAAATAAAAACAATAAACAATAACACTAAATTAAGATATAACTTATATTTAATTACTCAGTCACAATCACAATCTAACAGATTATAAGTTTAAATTATAAATTGTGTGTGCAGTTCAACAACCAGGCTAGAACATTAAATTCTACGTAGAATCAGTGAAGATTATCAAATTAATAATTTTATGGTTGTTGAATTTTATTTTTTACCTAAGTGTACCAGAACTCAAAATGGACTAAGCAATTTATCTTTAAACACTATTTTTACAATATAACAAGCCATTAGGCATGAAAACAAAAACAAATTTTGACGTGCCTCTAAAATTATTTTGTTGTTGTTGTGGAAGTAAACTTCCTGCTTTTTATTATTCCAATTCGAGCACTGCAGGGTAAACGTCCTTCTGGCTTGTGATATTATATTTTTGTGGAAAATCGAATGCACGAATCACCATTGAAGCGGCAACGCAATTCACCTACACACAGATAAAACACAGAGGATCAATGTTCGCAAAATGAACATCGATAATCCCACGGCCGCCTGTATGCTATAATATGGTGCGGTGAAAACGATCAATTAGCCTGACTTTCGGTAACCCACATTCGGAGCTTTGATTTGATGTAGCGCGATTCATACATATTATCATATAATATTATACCACTATAAAGCGATACATTTCAAGCGAATACTACGGTAATATAAAATCGGAATTGAAAAAATAAAACGAGCATACGCACGTGATCGATTACTGATAATTGGATCATCCATTATCAGTTTATATTTTCAAGATCACAAAAAAATTAATTATTATTTAAATTTGAATACTTCGTAAAATACGATATCGTTTCGAAACAATGTGAATCGTGTGAAGTGTATTTCCGTATGTAATGAAATCATTCGGTTCGATTGTTTGAGTGAAATAACAATATTAGAATATACTTGTAGATATGGAAACTACGTCGCAGTTTATAAAATATAACAATGAGCACGCCTCGTGAATTTTACATGGTTGAAGTCCGTTTTCGTATCAAGATTTTATTTTACTCAACAAAGACGCCCATATTATAACTAATTATAAAAATAAATTAAGAAACAAAGAACATAATTACATATTTGTGACCGATAAGTTTACGGTCGATCTTTTAGCATATTATGTAGCTATACATATATACATATTCAGTGATGTATATAAAATATTTTTTGTGGGACGTTTAAATTTTTCTAAAATAAGTGATTTTTAGTATTATAAACAATACCTTAAATTTTAAGACATGAATTGATAATTATATTATTATATTATTATTATTATTATATATATTCTATTATTATTATAAATAAAAATTAACAGTTATTAGAAACGCATTTGTACATTTTGATAAATATAACACGAGTCAAAACGCAGTGTTTCAAATGACGATTTAATAGACTAGGTATAATTTAGTATAAGTATAATTTTAGAATAGTCTGTCACTTAAAGCACTTATAATTTTAAATTAATGCGATACGTAATATAATAATATTATATGATTTATGAAAGCACCCACGAATTAAGGATGTTGAAGATACTATCGTGAGCATAGAAAGTAGACGTTTAAATTTAAAAAATTTTTTAATCAATGCAGCACCAACAATATTGGTTACCACTGCCACAGACTGTTTATCTCCAGACTAGAGATTAAGCGAAACAAATATAATATGCAAATTGGAAATGTACATAAAAAGTAATTTTAAAATAGTATTGAAAATACCCATACATGTTTCATAAACGGACCTTCGGTCTCCTTGACTTGTAGATATTGTTATCAACACTTATGCAAATATGTTGATTACATACGAGTGTGAAGTTATTGCCCCCACATCACCACCATGTTATCATATTAATACTACACGTGCATTAAAAATAAGCGACTAATTTGCAACTATTTTCAACAACGGTACTATGATTTGTAACTCAATACGTTTCTCGTAAAAATTATTTTTTTGGCGAGAGTGATTATTATACCTTGTGTGGTACAAGCATTTTTAAATGTTTAGAGTTCAAATAAAATATGCTTATAATAAACTGCAAACTTAAACTCATCATTTTTTTTTTTTTTTTAATTTCAAATTAAGTATTATTTTCTAAATTATCGAGGAGAAATCTATCGAAAATATTGAAACATTAACAGATATCGGTGTACTAGTATGGTTAGTAAATACCTTTTTATATCTTAAGTAAATGAGTAAGCTACTACTAGGATTTAACCACTCAGTTAAAATATTGAAACCAACGGTAACGGCACTTGCAGATGTTTAAGAAGTTCAAAATAACTATGTTTTTATTAAAAAAACTTCTTTTTAAAGTTAAACTCGATATTAAACATCTTTATTTCAACACTTTTGGTAGTTTCCATTTTAAGAATTTAGAGCTTAATACCTAATTAAGAAATTAGAAAAATTATGTGATTGAGTTGATCATTTATTATATACTTAGTTTATTTGAACTCTTTAAACATTTAAAATTGCTTGTACCACATCTAGGAACAATAATTTTTCTTGCCAAAAAAATCATTTTTGCGAGAAACGTATTGAGTTGCAAATTATGAAACCATTGTTGCAAATAGTTGCAAATTAAATGCTGATTTTTAGTGCACATTAGGTATTAATATGATATTATGGGAGGTCCAACTTCACACACGTGGTTATAAACTATATTTTAAATATCATGAATTCTAAGACTCTTTCGAGTTTAACTCCTTTTGTCTAGTTGTTTTCTGTACTCGAGACATTTCTGATCGACTTTTAATGTATGATTTTTTATGTTCTAATTCCACTGTTATTGCACTAATTTGTTCTAAGAGATCGTTAAATGTACGTCTGTGAAAACAAAAAAAAAAATTAGTTAGAACTGTTGTAAAGCTGCTGGATGCTACCAAATTAGCTACATCAACATCCCCCTTAGTCACATAATAAAAAAGATAAATATTTTTATCTCGAAAAATTCGCAATTTTCAACATTTTGCTTTTTTCTCCTTGGCGACTTTTAGTATGTACGTTTATAAGACAAAATGTATAAGTTGTATCGCAAAAGAACAAATAAATAGTGAACTACTATACTGCCCTATTAAGAAAAAAATACCTTAAGTTTCCTACATGCCATTTTGAGTATAATTCATTTTAATGTTTTGTAATTATTGGTTGTTTTATTTTCATAAATATAATACTTTACAAAATAAAATACATCATTTCTATTAGTAAAATAACTGATGAATACAGTGGAACTATTCAATTTTATTTTCAAATTTTATTTCATCGAAATATTCTGGTTTTGATATCTATACTAAGAACGCTATCAAAAATAACATATCAATTTGTTGATATAAATTATTTAGAATTGTTTACTAAGCAAAAATGCCGTAATTCCAGTTACGGCTTTTTTACCTAACATACGAAAAAGTACTGATTACTAAAACAATAAATAACAAAATATGAAGTAAACCAAAAATGTGTGTGAGGAGTTATAGTGTACAACAGTGAAATTCCAAACATTATCATTTATCAGTAACCAAAAATAAAATTATTGTACACGGCATTATTTCGACATGTTTTCTAAGCAACAATGCCGTAAATATAGATTATAAGTAAAGTGCTTAGTAAAACAGCCGTATATGATATAAGACATACGGCAATCTTTCTTAGCAAGTTGTGTTTACGGCATATTTGCTAAGTATCAATAATATTTAATTTTAATTACAGCAATATTATTTTCTTACAAGGACCTATATCTAGATAAATAACCATAGTTACGGAATTTTTACTTAAGGAAATCATGTAAAACTATTATGTTGTTCATAAGAGAGTATTATTTCATTTTTATTTTTTTTTCGAATTAATGATATTTTCTCTTAGCAAGGTTAGGTTGGTTATATAGGTCAGGTAGGTATCAGGTAGGTATCAGTATACAATTAAATATTTTGGATAAAACAAAAAATATCGAAATTAAAAACAAAAGTCAATTTTTTTTTTAAATTCAATTATAATTATAATTAGTTAAAAGAAAAAATAATTTTTTGAGGTACTAATTCTCTCATATTTTTGAACGTTGAAGACCATTTTTCCAAAATCAACCACAGAGTATCATGTTATAGTTTAAAAAAAAATGAGGACAAAAAAAGAAAAAAAGCGTCACCGAATTATATAATTGCATATTTATAAACATTTGTTACCACCCCAAAATATTAATATTTAAAAGTTATAATATGGCAGTTCTTGATCCTCAGACCTTCAAATACCACATGCTAATCATACCTAGTTTGATCTAGCTTGCACGTTAAATTCTTAATATTGCTGTCGAGTTGAAATCGTTCTTTTTTCAAAGAATTTTCAGTTATATCCGTGCACAATTCAGCACCACGTATATACGTTCTCTCATCGCTAAGTGTTTCGGCCAACTTTTTAGAGTTCAATTGTACTGATACAGTATCCTCTAATCTTTTGATTTCTTTCAGAAGTCTTTCTTTATCCGTCAACAACTATTAAACATCCATTGCATATTTATGTTAGACAAATAAATTAACACTAACAAATGGGTATTCAAATTAAATTTCTCACATTATATTGGAGCCATTCTAATTCATTTTGAATCCTTTTCGTTTCATATATACGTTTTCTTAGAGCACTATTTATTTTATCGTTTTGACTACGCAGATCGTATTTAGTTTTATTTCGTGGCAGAAACATGGACTCCCGCATCTTTTTCGAAAGAACCAATTCATCTTTAATACATCGTTTAAGATGTTTACACCACTGTAGCCATTTTTCATATGTGATAGACCTATGTATTAGTAATTATATAATTTCAAAACGTTTATTTTAAAAAGTTAAATGTTCTTTTACTAGGTAATATTTTGTTTGTTGAAAAATTGGTATTTTAAATAAATATTTACATATATATTATTCATTATTATTAATATATAAAGAAATCATTTATATATTGAATTAAATTAATGAATAAATAAATACTTGAACTGAAGTATTATTATAATTATGATATATGATGAGTTTTGAATTAAAGATATATCATAAAATTAACTAGGTAAATAAAATGGTAACGTAATATGAAAAAATAAAAGAAGTGTATTAACATTGAGAAAAATTGGTTACATAGAGATAATTAAATTTAATAGTAGAGATTATTTATAATTAGTACTTATAAGATAAATATATTTAAAGAAATATAAATATTTTGGTTATTTTTATTATTTTCTAGTATTTATTCATATACATAAGGTTTTTTTTTTTTTAAAAAAAATCAGTTTATGCATTTAAATTGATTTTAAAGAGTATGGCTGTTTTCGACCAAAAACGTATACTTCCTTTTTCGACCGATTCACTTTTCGACCAAACTTAAAATAGGCCGATTCCCTTTTCGACCTAAATAAAAATGTATATAATAAATTTAAAACAATGATGTACAATTATTGTCAATAATTATTAAAATATTATTATAAAAGAGAACGATATTTTGTATCTAATTTTGATCTTTCACCGTAATGAAAATTTTTTTACAATTTACAAATCTTGATACTAATGCAAATGGGATTATGCTCTGTATGTAAACCTAAGACCATGCTACACGAGTAAAACCCTGAATCATCATTAATATATTATAGTAGTTTTCATTATAATCAAACATTTTATATCATTATTTTATTATTTTTGTTATATAAATTTTTGTTTAGATCGAAAAGGGAATCTGTCTATTTTAAATTTGGTCAAAAAGTGAATCGACCTATTTTAAATTTGGTCGAAAAGTTAACTCGCCAAAAAGGGAAAGGTACGGTTTTGTTCGAAAACGGACTTGCCCGTATTAATATTATGCATTATCTTTATTTCATTGTACTTGTTTAACTCCTCCAGAACTGAATTAAAGTAAATGTTATTTTGAGTATTTAATATTTCTAAGTTTATGTAAATATCAAAACGTATATTATAGTTGTAATCTAAAACATGTTTACCGAGTTTTCAATTAGGGCAATCTTTCTTAATTTTATTTAAAAAATGTCTTATTTATATCTTATTTTAAAATTAAAATTTATTTTATGTATATAAAATATATTATAATTACATTTATGTTTATGTATCAGCATTTTCAAAATAATCGTTTGTAAAGTATTCACTTTTAATGTTTATATGTTTGATTAAATTATTGCAAGTCTTAAAGCGATTTTTACATTATTTGTATTATTGTTTAAAATTTTAGCAAATTTAGCATGTATTTTATTTTGATATTTTATACAACACTAGTAACAATATTATTTGGTGAGTTGTGTCTTATAATTTCTTTAATATCCATTTATGGATTTTTTTTATTATTATTTAAATTTAAATTATTTCTATGGTCTGTAGCAGCGGTTCCCAAACTTTTTTTTCCGTGATGCATTTTTTTTGGACCCAATTTAGCAACGGTGCCCACTGCCGTGAATAACATGAAAGACAGAACAAAAACAAATACTCATAGATACCCAATTTTATTAATTTTTTTAAAATTTAATTTAACTATAAATTAATGCATTTTTAAACTTAAAAATAAATAAATAAAAATTATTGTTATGATTATAATTATTACATAAAAATATTATAAGGTTAAAATGAGAATGTCCGAATATACAATAGAAAATATTACATTATTTGCTATTAAGTTTTTACGAAAATAATAAGGAAAAAAAATTCTACTCATTTTAAACTATTTATTATGAACCGTAAACCATGGTGCATAGTTTGAAAACCACTGGTCTATACTATAGATTAGGGATGGCCAATTTGCGGCTCGCGAGCCACATGTGGCTCTTGTCATTGTTGGATGTGACTTGCGCTTTATTTATAGAATTAAAATTTACTTATCATATTAATATTATTTTGGATTTTAATTTTATGGGTTTAAATTTATAAAATGTTATCAAATTATTAAAAATGTATCTGTAATTATCATGTACTTGGCTCTTGGAATTATTATAATTATCCGTATGGCTCGTGAACCTATGAATGTTGACCACTCCTGCTATAGATTATATTGAGCTCGTGTTGGTAATTATGTTTATTTAGCTAGTATGGATGTACAATAGAAGCTGCTTATTAGAAACACGGATAATTTGTATAATCGCGTTATGGAAATAAAATGTCTTGGGGTGGATCGGCCCTATATTAAAACATTGTAAATCGATCGGATTATTAAAACAACTCATCGACTATTTGAAACAAAAAAGATCAAGTTCGACGAAAATGTCCGATTATTTAGCTATAACCAATGTTTTATAATTATAATGTACTTTATCTTATGTCGTTACGATCGAAACCATTCAAACTCTCGGAGTAAGTGTACGAAGATTGGATCGATGTGGACTTACACCACGATGTTGTAGAGGTTCCAACAGAAGAAATTTGTAGTGCGGTTGTAAATCATCAAACAATTGAACATCATGCTATCACTGACAATTAAGGAGAAAAAATCGAAGCATCCCCATGAAGTAAAGTCATTTTAGAAGTTCTAAGTGTTCTCAGAAGCAGGGATGTTATTTTAGAGGGGGGGAGACTATGGCAAATGCCCCACTCTAAGAAATTTTAAAAAGTCGGCAATTCTTTATCCGATGATCAAATGCTAAAATCAGTAAATAGTAAATTTTTATTTACTATTTTGTGCTCAGAAATCAAATAATATTCTCTTTTAAATACACGTTCACGGTTTATTAAAATTTGGGAAACACTGGCTCCTCCCTGGTTTATGACAATCGTTACTACTCGAACCTTATAAAATTTATTTTTGGTATCATATATTATATATTTCTATATATGTGATCTTTATAAAACATTTTTCATGATATCGACACCATAAAAATTAAGCTCATAATCTATAAAAAAAAACGTTAAAATCGATCCTATTTACCCCAAACTACGGTACATTATATTTGAGATACAATTTTATCTTTTTAGTAATAAATATACAAATAATAAAATTATAAGTATTTATTTAATTAGATTTATATTATTATTCCATTAAAACTATTGATAGGTAACTTATAGCCTATAGGATAGGTAAATAATTAATGTTTTACTATCTTAAATGTTATTATTTAATTGGGTAAATTGAAACGCTTCATGTTCTTTTTTTATCATCATGACATCATGATTCATTACTAATCCTTACATGTTTTGTTCCAAAAATATATTTTATTGGTAGTCTATCGTACATATATATTGAATATTTAAATATATAAGTAACCATAATGTTTTAAATATTATTAAATTGGTAAATTTAATCAGTTTCCCCACCCTTTCAAGAGTTGAAATTACGCTCCTGCTCAGAAGAGCAGTTCAGCACCGTGTGGACGAATAAGGCTTTGGGCAAAATTATTCTTACGAAACCATGATCATTAAATTATTCGGCACAAAAGAACAGACAACAAGAATCACATATTTTATTTACCATATACACTTTTTTTTTCACAGTAAATAATTTTTTCGAATTTTACATTTTAAATAAAACCAATCGCTTAATAAAACAATCGGTTAATTGACACATTTCGCGTTGTTCCAAAAGTATTCCTAATAAACAGCTTATACTGTAGTTTAATATCAAACATGAACAATCCTAACTATTTACTGCGTTAACCAACGGACGAACACCATGGACACATTATGAGTTCTAAATTAATATTGAATAACGTTAAAATCAGGACTTTGCACTCAAATTAACCCGAACCCGTAACACCCCTAAAAACCCTTAAAAAATCAAACACCCAAAACCCATATAACCCGAATGATTTTTTTTTTAAAACACCCGAATTAACCAAAACCCGAATAAAATATTGGTTTTAACCCGGAGCCCAAATAATTTTTTATTTTACAATCTTTATGTGACACATCACTTTCTTTGTATTTTTTATGGTTATTTCAATTTTGTCATTAGCTATTTAATATTAAAATTATTATTCACAGGAATAATTTCACAAATAATAAAAAAATTGTTAATTAATCTAAATGTATCTAAATAAAGACAATAGAAATTATCATATTGACAGGTGTGCATGAATGGTATGGTATGTTGAATGTTCAAATGTAAATGACTTGGATACTATTTTAAAAATCATCCCAAATGGATACTTCGTATTATTATAATTTAATAGATAATAGATTTTCTACAAATCACCGAGTCGTTATTTAATGCAATACTGTAAGTTTAAAATAGAATTGATGTCTCGCGTATGATAACCTAAATTGTTGTTCGCGTTATTCATATTTGTTCAGTATATGACGTCTACTCAAGGCCGTAACTGGAAAAAATGTTTGGAGGGGGGGTATAACATTATTATTTAATACAATTTATAGTTAATAAACTATATTATATTATTATAATATAATTATATTTATATTAAATTATATTATATAAACTATATTCATCACTAAAATGTTTCTAGTTTTCTAGTTTTGAAAATTTCGGGGGGGGGGGGGGGCGTCCAGACCCTTGGACCCCCCAGTTACAGCCTTGCGTGTACTACACATGCCTATGGCGTGAATTGTCAATTTATGTTGGTGTAATAATTTTATCGTAACATTCATAAATATAAATTATTATTATTTTTGTATTACACTATGTCCTAGCTAATGCGTTTTTAGTGTGTGCACGCATCACAAACCATAAGCGGAAATTTGGTGAAATTTGTGAAGGGGGTTAAGCATTATTTGCTTATTAAATCTATAGATACCACTGTACGCAATTATTTATTTCAACAAGGCAATTTACGAAATTTGACAATTTGATATTTTTAATCAACAATTTAAACAAAAAAAACAATTAGGTGCCTTATCTTAAACATTTTTGGAGTAGGTATTCTAAACAGAAATTATTACGTAATTAAATTAAACAACCTATATGGGTATTATTACATATTATTAATATTACATTGATCGTTCCAAGTCATGACAAAAACTTTGTAAAATCTTACGAATTTGATTTAATTTTTATCACAGAATATTTTTTTTTAATTAAAAATGCATTTTACAATTATACTAATGATTGTACTTTAGTCACATAGCAATTTCTAGGGCTAGGGGGGCTAAGACCTGTACTTAATATTTCTGGGGGACTTAGTCCTTTCAAGTCTCCCCCGATTTCCACCTATGCCACAAACACAAACGCAGAATACAAAATAGTTAGTTTTTTGTCAAATGCTATATGCCCGTACTAACTAGAAGTAGAACATAGTGTTTGTATTTTTAATTTTAATAGATATTATAATTTATAAGCTTCATACACATGTAAAATAACACCTTCTTCCTTGTAAATAAATTGTAGTTACACCATTGCTTGAAATTAACATAATGATAGTTTGATCTAAAAAAAAACTGTTTCACAGTTGTACAAGAAATTGATATTTCATTACATTGGCGGGAAACAAAAAATATAAATATTTCATTAGTGTGGGGATGGCTCAGTTTCCCCACCACCCTCCACCAATGAAAAATAATATTTTTCCTTGACTTCTAATTAATACACCCGTATTAATGTTAATACCAATATTAACCCGAATAATAACGGTTATTAACACCCAAACGTTTGTTTAAATGTTGTATTGTGATGTTTGAACACCCGAAACCCGAAACCCGAAAAAAATATTCGGATGCAAAGCCTTAGTTAAAATAGAGAGGGAATAATTTCTCATATCATGACCATAATATATGTATTAATATTGTGAAAGCGAAATACAACTACTCACAAGAAGTGTGAAATCTCCAAATCACTTCATACTTACTGTTTCGCAACCCTAGACGGATCTTTAAGATGTAAATATTCAGAGTTTTTTGTCAGCTCCAACAATTTAGTATTTATACAGATTGCATTAACTTTATTTTCCAAGTCATGAGCTACGTTCATTTTTAACTCTTGTAGTTTATTTAGCTGTTCCCATGCAGCTTGGCATGTTTCCGTCAATAATGTTTTCAGTTTTTCTAAATTTTTATGTTCCTAAAAAAACATCGTGCATTAGTTTTCAAAATGTATTTATTGCATTACTATATATATATATATATATATATATATAGGTATATAATATGTAAAAATATGCGTATTTGATACATACGACATCTAGTTCGACGGATGCATTATCATGACAAAAATCTGCACTCTCTCGCTCATCGCGTATACTTTTGCAATGATTTGTTATTTTAAAATTCAAATTCAAAAATTTAAGAACATCTTCGGTTTTTGATTTATCGTCTTGCATGTACTGCACTTCTCTTTCTAAATCATCGTAGAGCAATTGAATCACGTTTTTCCATAATGTTATTTCCGCAGACCTGAAAAGCGTCTAATATTATATGCACTTTGAAAGCTTGAAGTTCAGTAGACATTGCCGTGCACACCTGTCCTCAAAAGCCTCACGTGTATAACGTGTATTCCAATAGGTATTGATGTCTGTTTCGTCCCTTAAGCAGTGCGAATCGTTTTTTAATTTCAATGTTTTATCCCTGATTTCGTCACATGATGCTTTTATTTCGGACATTCTGTTATGCCAGTCGGACTCCGATACGAATGATATAGGCTTCGTGAACGTAACTATAGACATCGTGTATTCCTTTGTAGTTTCTTCGAGTGTTTCTGAATGGAAAAAATATTTTATTGACAGTGGTTGTATGAAAATTAGATTGCTAGAAATTTAGATAAGTTATTTGATTTAAAATTAATTAATTAAAACTGTTAAAATTTTGTTTAAAATTTAGTGAGATATTCGTTATATTAAACACTAAGTATTAGTATTAAATTATTGTTCCCATAGTAATGACTGTAGTTCTGTTTAAAAAAAAAAATAATTTGGCCAGCATAAAGTGTACTCTAATTGTTTCGTCGTATAAATTATTTTATAAAACATTTCAAATAATCGCATCAGCTACCGTTTGTCCACTAAAACCCTTTAATATAAACAAAATTTATATATTTGTTTATATAACTAATAAACAAAAAGTATTTTTATTCATATAGATTTTAACCATTAATTAATCAAAATTTAAATAAAACATCAATTTTACTGTTACGAGATCTAAATGTTTTCCATTTTATTTAATCAGTAATTTAGATAAAATAAAGCAACTAAAAATAAGTGAATCTATATTAAATATTTATGTGACTAGTGGCTGCCTTGAGTTTAATCTATATCTGGCTCAATGAATGTCAAAATCAGTTCTAAATCTATCATTCCTATAAATTAAATATTCTCCTCAAAATTTAAAATATCTACAAGATAGTAGCCGTTACCACGTTGGGGTTTTATGTATATTAATATATATATATATTAGGGTGCCACTTATTTTCTTAAATTTAATTTTTTATGAGTGCGCCCCCTAATTTGGTTTTTATATATCTTTTAAATAAAAATCTGTAGTTAAAGCTTAATTGAACAAATTTAACACGTGGCGAATTAAGCCGAAAGTTAAGCGATAATAAGTATTTAAGTTATAATATAACTATTATTATAGTTTTTATTAGTGCTATTAATGCTAAAGCTGTCTATCGGAAATCATATGACCAACAATTAAGCCTTCACTAATTTAAATGTAAAGTCAGTCGTTGTTCACTGGGACACTAAAATAATGGAAAATATATCTAGAAAATGTGTCGATAGATTAGCAGTCATCGCTAAAGGTACGAATTTTCAACAATTATTGGGAGTACCGGAAGTGTTGGCGGAGGCAAGGCTTGAAATTTCATCTGCAGTTTTCGATACTTTAGAAAGTTGGAGCTTACTAGATAAAACTCAAGCATTTGTTTTTGATACAACCACGTCGAACACTGGTAGATATAATGGTGCCTGTACATTACTATAAAATAAACTAAATAGAGATATTATTTATTTTGGTTGTAGACATCATATATTTGAGATAATTCTAGCTGACATTTCTAAAAAATGTAAAATCTCACCTTTGACAGGTCCAGAAATTCCTTTATTCAAACTATTTAAGAAAAAATGGGATACTATAAACTTAAATAAATTTGTTACTGGAATCTCTTACATAGATATTAAAAATGCATTAGGAAATAACTACATTGACATTGTGGAATATGCAAAACTTAAACTTTTGACATATTTAATCCAAGACGACTATAAAGAATTATTGAATTTATTAATTATTTTTTTGGGAGAAGTACCTCCTGGAGGAATTAAGTTTAAAAAACCAGGTGCATACCATCATGCAAGGTGAATGACCAAAGGCATCTATTGTCTCAAAATGTATTTATTTCGACAAGAGTTTAAGTTAACAAATAATGAGATTAATTCTATTTCTCATTTTAATTTGTTTTTAATTAAGTGCTATGCACGCTTCTGGTATTCTGCGTCAAATGCCATTGAAGTTCCATTAAATGATATCATGTTTTTAAGAGCCTGCTACGAATATCGTACAATTAATGAAATTATTTCAAATTCTGTTATTCAAAAGTTTCTTAGACATTTGTATTATTTAAACGAAGAATGTATCACGCTAGCACAGTTTGATAACAGAATAAATGAAGACACAAAAATGAAAATGGCCTAAAAAATGATAGCAATTGATGAAGAAGAGGACTACGAAGAAGAAATAACAGAGAAAAAATTAATTTTGAATAAAGAAGAATTAATTTGTCTTTTAGAAAATGACGATAATAATATTTTATTAAAACTCGTGAACCATAAATCTAAACATTTTTTAGAACGATTTGGTATTTCAACTGCATTTTTAAAATCACATCCAAATACATGGACTAATTTATCCGAATTCATAGAAAGGAAAAAAATAGTAAGTGATCTTAAAGTAGTAAATGATCCTGCAGAACGGAGTATAAAATTAATGGAAGAGTTCAATCATAAAATTACAAAAGATAAAGACCAAAAGAAATTTCTATTAAAAGTAAATGATAAATATTAACTTTGTATAATATAGAATAATATATTAACAAATATTTTTATATTTTTAGACTGTTCAAGATTATCGTAAGAAATATCTAAAATCTGCTACTTCGAAAGATCTTAAAAAACCTTTATAAATATGTTGTCTTTTAAATAAGTTAATTTATTGTGTTATAATAATTAAAACATGTAATTGTATAGTGTGTCGGAAATATAAAATATAAATTTTTTCATTTTTAAAATTAAAGCAATTATACACCAAAAACCAACATTTTACTTTTTCCTATAAAACATTGAGCTTAAGTCGCCACCTGTTAATTAAGTTCGATCAAGTTCAAAATTTACAGACATTAATTTTAGGTATATTGTAATAAAATTGCGGCCCGCAAATTTAGCAAAAAATTTTCTCTTCGGATCAGTAACTGGCACCCTAATTTATATATATATATAGATATAAACAATGCAAGATTTATTATTAAAATTATTATTGAAATACCCAAATTTTTATTTCCACGGAATAAAGTGAACTTCTTACAGATATTTATTAATTTAGCGTTGATATATTATTTCAGAGATTAAAATTAATATCCGTACGTTTGTTCAACATTTCTGATTTGTATTTAAACTTTAAATAGAACTTGATTTCCTATTAAATTATTTTTTTAAAAAAGTTGTTCAAATTTTTTTTTTTTTTTTCGTGTCAAGTGCCATACTGGTAACTATAATTTAGTAATTTAGACTAGTTTATAAATATATATCACGGTTTACAATTTAAAACATACATAGGTAGATAATATACAATAAAATAAAATAAAATGAAATTTGGTATAGTAAGTGTTTCGACTAGATGTTTTCATTTGCCCAGTACTTGGCCACGTCCATTTATTTCTGGTTGGCAGTGGTTAGGTCTTCTTGCGTACAAGGTCCTGGTGCCAACAGGCATATCAATAAATGTGCCATCGTCTGAGTTTTTCCACTGTGGCAAAATGTCTGCTGATCATTTAGGTATCATATAGCTTTTCCTTGACTTTAGACGAGAGATTGTAGTTGTCTGTCCATACATAGGATGTCACGGGTCGTTTGCCTGTTTTTGTCTTTCCAAGTTAGAGGAAATTAGTCGTCTTATTGATGGTGGAGCTAAGCCAATAAGATTACTTTTTCAATAGGTGTGTTTTTGATGCATCCTGTTACAATACGACATGCATCATTTAGAGCGGTATCTATTTTTTTTGCATGAGTTGATCTTTCCCATAACATGCGTATTCCCCGACTGAAAAACAGAGGAACATTGCAAATATCCGTAGGGGGTAGGGTTGTGCTCCCCATTTTGATCCTATCAGTTTTCGGAGTAGACCGTTGCGTGTATTTATTTTTTTACTTGTCTTTTCGCAGTGATATTTGTTCGTTTAAGTTCTGTCAAGAGTAACTCCTAAATATACTGATGTATCGCAGTATAGTAATGCCTCACCTTCCCATGTGATTTCCAATTTGCGATTGGCTTCCCTATTTCTCAGATGAAATGCGCAAAGAAGTGTCTTATTTGGGTTTGGTTTGAGGTGGTTACTTGTATAATATTTGCTCGTGTATTCCAAGACGTTGGTGAGCTTTTCTTCAATTGTCTCAAAATTGCTATCTTGCACAGCTATTGCTGCATCGTCTGCATGTATAAAGTGTTTAATTTTATCGTCATTTGATATATATTGGTCATTTGTATATATGTTAAAAGTGTTGGGGCGAGAACACTACCTTGCGGTAGTCTGTTTTCCGAGTTTCTCCATCTGCTGTGTTTCCCTGCCAGAGTGACAAAGAATCGTCTGTTACTCATCAGAGACTTAATAATTTGCGTTAACTTAAAATCCTGTGTAAGTTTATATACTTTATCGATAACATTAAGCCGTGGTTGACCGTGTCATAGGCTGCCGAGAGGTCAATGAAAGCCACGCCGGTTATTTGTTTTCTCTCAAAACCGTCCTCAATAAGTTGGGTAAGGTTAAGTATTTTTCCTGAGCAGGACATACCTGGGTGAAAACCAGCTTGTTCTTATTGAGCGACAAGTATAGTTATAGTGCATTGCATGAATAATAAATTATCACTATAAAGGTATTGAGAAAACAAACCAAAATAAATGTTCAATCTATATATGTAATTTTATATCCATAAATGATTAGAATGTTTTTTTATTTTAAGTGAATTTCTTGTAACAATAAGTAATTATTATATGTATTATTATTAGTCGTTACAACTTGCACTTTTATCTCATTTTTTTTTTTCAACAATTCAACCCATGTTTACGCATTTTTTTTATTTATCATCGATCCTCGTGCTTTTTTAATGAATGCTAAGGATTTCTAGCTCATTTAGACGGAACTCCGTTTGTTATTTATCACATACCACCGTGTATTGCTGCAGCAGTATTCACGCAGCAAATCAAATAACAATACGATCGACGAGTTGAAGTTCGGTTTTTTTTTTTTTTTTGATTATGATCGCGGGTTTGGGTGAACGCGTTTGTTTTTCCATAGAAACCGTACCATCGCATATGTAGTCGCGTGTTCGTCATCACACTGGTCTTTGATCTGGACAGTTTTATCGAAGAAGATTCGCGTCATGAACAAAACAAGCTT